TCGTAATTCTCCTGCCCGTATTTCTTCCTCCGCTCCTGTTTAATGCTTTGTTTCTCCCTCAACCGGACTCCGAATCAGTCGTTGTTTGATCCCAGACGCTTGTAGTCTCGTCCTCTTTCTTTTCATTACAAGATTCCATGATTTTTAGTCCATAATATGAGGTATAAATTCATTATTCCTAAGGTCATGCTCAAGTTTCTTCTCCCGAATTGCCAAATGATCTTCGATTGACTTGAAACTTGCGCCTATGCATCCCTTTATTCACTAGGACTTGAAATATGACAAATAACACAACCTAGCGTAAAATAGGCCAAGACACCACAAATTTGAGCCAAAATGGTTAAGAAACAAGGGTGCAAACATGTGCAAATACGACGCTATCACTACTCTTCTCTAATAGCATATAATGAGCCAACGTTGGGTAGTAGTTTTACAGTTAGACTCGGTCGAGCCAACTGACAGATTAAGGTAGATGAATGATCTTATGGTCTTGTAGTGGACAAGGCGATCGTACCTCTGTTACAAGAAAACCTTTCTAGACGATGCTTTAAGGGAACACAATCGTGTATCGATCCATATATTTAGTTTGCACGACATGTATAACCTATTGAAATGAGCTCAATTCGTAATGCCCCAGATACATGAGCTTTGAATGAGGGGACAATGGGTCTTGGGGGGACGTACTCGGAGGCGTGGGATAACGAAAAAGGCCCACAAGATTAGAGAGCTCACGCACCATATCTGATAAACCCAACATAGTTTTTCATTTGCATGTTAGACCTAAGATAGGGCGACGAAGTTACCCATATTACCTCTTCCTTTCTATCAATCTTTAGTATAGGAATCGCCAAATGCCGACCTGCTAAGTAACATATTGACTAGATAACGACAGAGCCTAAGTAGCCTAAGATACTATGACCCTTTGGAATATGACTGAGCCACTTTACTACATCCTTAGCTTGGTTATACTTGGTCCAGTTAGGATTGATGTGAGTACGCTTTGATTTACAAATATTAAAACTTCCACGATCAATCGTCCCTAAAGAGCATTGATGGCATGAGAGAGAGAAGGATTAGAGTACATCAACGATAATGGAGGATTAAAGTCAAGGTGGAGATTTGTTGATATGACTTGAATTGGAAAATCTGGCAACGACTGAAAACCACCGTGGCCTGGTTTGTAAATTTATTCTTTACCATATTTGTTTAGGGTTAGACCACATGAAGAAGTTCTATAAATATTTCTCATACTCCTCTGCAATCTACATCTCCTCAAAATATAGTGAAACTGGATCTCTCTTGCCCTTGGACTAGCTAACACGCATCCTGTTAGTGAACCACATAAATTCGTGTGTCTTGTTTGGTTTCATGCTTTCATTTTCTTCCTCTATCGGTCCTCGGATTGCTCAATCCGTAAAAATAGTACCCACAAATCCCAACTTCTTTTTATTATTATCAATATGACATTTGATCATACAATGCTCTAAATCCTCTATCTATTATACTACATACACGATGTCCTCAAACCCCTTAGGAGTGGATTTGATGGTCATTGTGTCTTCTTCTTCTAAAAACCTCTTGAGTTTCTTTTTAGAATTCTCCATTTCTGTAATGCTTCTCAACAAAGGTAAAGTTGTTGCTTCTCATCCCAATTCTTTCACCAAGTCATAAATATTTGCTCCTAATATTGAATTGGAAAATCTGGCAACGACTGAAAATCACCGTGGCCTGGTTTGTAAATTTATTCTTTCACCAAGTATGCCATCCTTTATGTAGTTGTCTCCCCACCTTTTCCTTACCTAAAAAACTTTGAAATTCTCCTAATATTGTCGGCATAGCCTTGAGTTCTTCCTTCTTAGGATTATTCTCTATAGTGCTAAGAAGATGTCCTTAAGACTTTTGAGGTATCAATCAAGAGTGCAAGTTTTCATTCGATATTCTGATAGGTTGCTTGCAAACCAAGGACTATTCCCTCATGTTTCTCGAATCTAGTAGGTTGGTGATTGGAAGAACTTCCTCCTTACTCCTTATATTGAGTTTGATTTCCAAATCCAAGTGGATTTGGCTTCTTGTTCTATTGTGCTTCATGAACATAAGGTGCATTGGTAGATGTGATATTTGAGTAATCTTCAGGCTTTTTTCCTCTTGGGACTGGCCATTGACCATAAAGTATGTGGGGTTGGGTGAATCTCTGGTAAGGAGCATAGCTTCTTTGTTTTGGCCTTGGTTGGTAGCCTTGGTTAATCTAAGTGGAATAAACATGTCCTTGCCGTCGATGGCTCCAACATTCTTGGAGCTATTTTGGAGGATTTCTTTGCCATTGGAGCTCGAGAATCAAACTTGGAGATGGAGATTGAAGATCTAGATAAGATTTCTGCAGTCTCTCTCTTCTCTATGGAGTAACTTCCCTTCACTTAGGTTTTGAGGAACCCTAGTTCCATGTGTTAGGATCTTTCTTGTATGAAGTTTTGGATGCTATATTGTTTGATTATAATCGATTAAGGCATGATTTATTGAGTCAATTGAATCTTGATCAAATTCTCTTGATTTCTGCTTTAACCTGTGATAGATAGAATCTGATTAGGTTAAGAGAGCTTCCTTGATTGATGGTGGTGAATTGGTTGTGCGAGAGTCAATCAATTCACTGCTTTGTACTGGAATTCATTCCAGTAGTGGAGATCTGTGTGAATCGCCTTAGCAGTCTATCCCGGTGAAGGCTAATCGCCTGTCGGGTATTCTATCTAAGAGGGCTTGGTCAGCTTAAGAGATTCCAAGCTAATTCAGGATCTTCCGCAGTTTAATCAACAGTAGATCAACCAAAAGTAATTGAAACTTGGACCTAATTGAGGAGCTAGGGGGAATCATACCTAAGTGAGTTCCCAACTTGTAATTAGTAGAGTAGTTAGTAGAGTAGTTTAGTAAATCAATCCTTAATCTAGTTTGCTAGATAATGAACTGAAGCTGAGTAATAGTAACTCTAGAGACCCGTGGATTCGATATTTATTACTTGTGCCACTATACGGCAGTCCCTTTCATTGGTTACACTTGGCCATTGTTAGGTGTTGTGTTTTAGCGAGTCACATTGAGCTCCTATCATTATCGTGAAATCACCATCAGCAGATTGATTTACCATCATTGTAGTATCTTGATCCAATTCGTTAGAAAATACTTAGCAACTCGCTAAGGTGTAAATTCGTGATGGGGCATGCCTTGAGATGCTCTTAGAATATCCTTCAAAATTCATAGAATGTTTCTCCTTCCTTCAGCTGGAATTGTGTAATTTCATCTTTGAGCTTCTTTGTCTTTTATGGTGGGAAATAATTCTTCAATAAAGGCTTGTGCTAGGTTCTCCCATGTGGTGAAGGTGCCTTGTGGATGGTAATCTAACCACTGTTTCGTGCTTTCTACGAGTGTAAAATGGATAAGTCATAGCCAGATTGCATATCTAGTAACTTCATCTCCTGGAATGGAGCTGACAATCTAAAAAAAACAAATCTTTTGATGTTGCATAGGGTCATCATCATTCCTTCCAACAAATCTCCCTAATTGTTGCACCATTTGGGTAAGCTGAGTTTGAATTTCAATGTTTGCTGGTAGTGCATCCATGCCCCAAAAAACCCTAGAAAAATTTCCTAGAGCCTATTCTTCGTAATCGCCTTTTGTGCTTCCTTAAGGAGAAGACTCGGATATATGTTTACTTCTTGCTTCTCCTTCACAACATTCTTGCTTCTTTTTCATTGGTTCGAACTTTTTCTCAAATCACGTGTGATGAAGGACGATGACTCGAAGTTTAATCTCAACGTCGATTCAACCATTTCGCTCTTTCGATTTCACTCCTCAATGATCCGAAGCTTCTGACTTCACTTTGACAGTAGATTGATGATTCCACAAGCCTTGTCGATTTTGGGAGATTTTCTGTCGAGGATTCTCCCTATGTTTGTAGCTTGAGAGTGACGAAGAGGATGAGTGAGAACGAAATGAAATGGGTGGCCCACTCCATTTTTACATTTACTATTTTTTTCGATAAATAAACAAGCAAATGCTTAATTATCCACGTCATCGAGCCTCATAGGATCCTATTAGACACTGGTTGGGAGTTGAATAGTCTCACAGTTAAAAGTTAACGACTCAACTAATTGAATAGACATTTTGGTATACAAATGATATATCGATAATTAAATGGCATATTGGCTAAAGATTAATATTGTTGGTGATATTTGAACTAGAGAAAAAAAAAGTAACAAATACATGTTTTGGGGTGGAATTTTTTCTCCTCCTTCTCCTTCAAGTGGTGAGAGAGAAAGGAAGCGAGCCCAATTCTGAGGTGGGGCCCCAAACTTAGCGTCCATCCAGTGAGTGTCCTCTTTCTTTCTTAATCAGAGCACATTTCCTACTTAAATTCTCCCTTCCCATTGACTGGAGAGGAGAGGAGAGGGAGAGGAGAGGAGAAGAGAGGTGGTGTGGCTAGTAGCTAGCGGCATCCATTGCGAGATCCTATTTCTGATTCACAACTCACCATTTTAGTGTTGGACACACACAACCATCCCCACCTCCCCCTTAATATATATATATATATATATTAATATAGTATTTGCATGTCGTAACCACGCCCTAAAATGTCTTACCCCCACATGCTATATGCTATGTTTGTTTGTACCATCATACATACAATACAACACAGCAATTCCTTTTATACCACCACCATCTGTAGACTGTAGTTGCATTGATATATATGTTTGTCTGTACAACTCCACTCCCTCGCATTTATTTTCAACTCTTGGCAGCCAGGCTCATGTATGAATTTTAACTCGCTCGATTGCAATCTGTTTAGCTAGCTTCTTCTTTTTAGAAAACAAACAAACAAACTATTAAAAAAAAAAAAGACTGTAAATAAAGGCACAAGACAAAATCAAAGGCAAAAAACAACAAGCAAGGTAGCAAGAAGTGCAGGGAAAGCAAGGTATCATTTCCATTCAATCATAGAAACAAACATAACTTGTTCCGCTTTGACCAAGTAGCCCCCTTCCCTTCCCTAATTCACAATGACACTAAAAGTCAAGAGCAGCGGAAGAAGAAGAAGAAGAAGAAGAAGAAAAGAGCAGTAGCGCGCAGAAGGAAGGATTGTGAAAACGATGACAGTATATCCAAAGTAAAATTCAAAGGAGGGGAGGGGGACCCTACTATTACTAACCTAACAAGCCTATGCGTTTTGAGTGTGGTAGACTAGAAATAGAATAGGTAGGTAGACAGGCGAAAGAAAATCAATTTCATTCACACACCCGAGAACCAGCGGAAGAGCTCGCTGATCTCTTCCCCGTACCTATTAGCCTCCTCCACGTCATACTCCGCCACCGCTGCTGCTTCCCCGCTCCGCCGGCTGCTCAAGAACCTCCCTGAGCTCCGGAACGACGACGACAGCCTGTCCACGCAATCCTTGAGCCAGCTGCTCCTCCCCACCTCCGCCGCCAGCTCATCCTCCTTGTTCTCCGACACGCTTCTCCTGTCCCCCGCGCTCTGGACCTCCGTTACCACCTCCAATTCCTCCTCCTCCTCCACAACGTAGTCGAAGGACCCCATGGAGTAGGATCCCCCGCGGCGGACGTCCTCCCCCTGCCGCCGACTGACGGACCCGATCTCGAGGCGGAAGCTCCCGGAGAGTGCCTTGAGGATGTCGGAATCGGAGGCGTGGAGTGGGGAGCGGCAGAGAGGGCAGGTCTGGTTGGAGAGGAGCCAGGTGTCGATGCAGGCGGAGTGGAAGGCGTGGCAGCACAGAGGGAGGAGGCGGAGCTGGTCGTTTGGCTCGAATTTGGAGAGACAGACCGCGCAATCGCCCGAGGAGGAGGCTGAGGCTGAGCGGCGGTGGATGGAGGCGAAGGTGAAGAGAGGGAGGGAGTCGAGGAGAGAAGAGTCGGTGATTTGAGGGGAGACGCGGCTGCGGTTGGAGGAGGCGGTGGAGGAGGAAGCAGAGGAGGAGGATGAGGAGAGGGGGTGGAGGCAACGGCGGTTGAGGAGGCGGAGGAGGAGGCACAGGGAGAGGGAGACGAGGAGTGTGATGGAGAGGATGAGGATTATGATCAGAATGCTGGGCTTCAGGTTCTCCAATGGCGAAGACGAGGGGTGTGCTTGCGATTGGGTTGCGGTGGTGAGCGGAGGAGAGATGCCGGCGGCGGGCAGAGGAAGGAAGGGGAGCGGAGGAGGAGACATCGGAATGGATAGCGACATTGCTTCAGTTTTCGCTTTGTGTCCAGTGGAATGGAAGGATCTGAGTTTGATTGTGCCTTCTCTGTTTTTTTTTTGGGTACTTTTGCGGGGTGGGGACTGACTGTGATGAGTGAGAAACTGAAATGGGGGGAGAAAGAAGAAAGATATTGCAGGCAGGAAGAGAAAGGGGAAAGGGAAAATGGAGGGAGGAATGGCGAGAATGACTGAATGGGGTTGGGAATTGCTTCCTTGCTGGTTTTGTTTGTTTGTTAAGTAAAAGTAAGTAAGATCAGATCACACAAGGGAAGGGAAACAAGTGAGCAACAACAACAACTGCATTCTCCCTAACACCACAGAAAGTAGAAGCAGTGGACTGGGACAATAACAATACTAGTTAAGAGAGTCTGCATTTTGATGTTATTGTTCGGGACGGGAAACCAAATGGCACGTGAGCTGCACGCAGGTGGCAAAGAGAGTGGGACGAGAGTCGCTTTCGCGCTCTCTCTCTCTCTCTTCGGGATCAGGTTTCAGCAGACTTAAATGCTGCGTACGTTTCTTTTTTTTTTTCCTTTGTTGGGTTGTTGGCGGCGACGGAGGCCGGCTGGCGGTGGTGGTGGAGAGGGTGAAACGTGGGATGGGAAATGGCGGTGGTGCTGCAGTGCAGAGTTAGCTAACTGTTTTGCGGGAGAGGACACCCCTTCCTACTCATTTATGGTTTAGGTGTGCATACCAATCAAACATCTAATTCCTCCCTCTCCATTCAAATTCGGATACACCAATTCATCTAAAACACTATAACAACGCCTTAACATGATAACAAATAAAGGAACCGCTGGCTAACCCACGTAGCAATCGATTGCTTATTATATATAACACATAGGAGGGGGAAAGTGAAGTGTTCTGCCTCAAGCTTAGTAGGAATGGTAATCAAACTCATGGCCGCGGGTATGGGCAGGGGCGGAGGGAGAAGGTTAGAGGGGTTCGGGAGGAAAAATAATAAATTAGGTATAATAGTAAATCGGGTATGAAAAATAACACGTATTTAAATGAGAATAGTTGATCGTTTAAACATTTGATGAATGATATAAGTTGCGTATTGACATATACAATATTTTTATAACGAGTTATGTACAAATGATAATGGTGCATATGATCCACCCAAAATTAAAGATGTATTTGTCTAACATCTCGAACAAATTTGCACCAAATCATAGCTAATTTATAAAAATAATTTTATTTCAATCAGGGGTAGAGAGAGTGTAACAGGTGGCTCCTAAAGACAAACATGAGTAAAATAGTATAATGTTTAATTGAGAATGAAATTTAAGACACTTCTAATTGAGAATGGTTGACCGAGAGATCATGAGTTCGGATTTTGGAGACCCCATTTGTAAAGCACATGATATTCGGATTTGCGAAAAATTTAAGCACGTATTAGTTGGTTTTCGTTAGCGGGAAAGTGGTAGTAACTGGTCTTGACGAAAAACATTGTTAAATAGTATAAGTCTATTATTAAATCTTTCACAAAAACTTGAGTTATTGGTACTAAATGGTCTTGACGAAGAACACCATTCAAAAGCAAATGTCTAACTAAATCATTAATAATTGGTTGATATATACATAGTGATATTCTTGAGAGTTTCGACCTATAATTAATTTACCAAATTTTTGTAAATACAAAAGTATATCATGAATTATTTAAAATGCTAACAAAACTATTTTATCGTAATTTTTTCTAAATGGATCCACCCTCGACAAAATCCTGGCTACGGCCCTGGGTATGGGTAAAGCCCGCAAAAAATTTGATGGGTATGGGGCGGGTATGGGTTTAGCGTCCCCCGACCCATACCCATACCTGCCCCACCAAAAACATTTATTCACATATAAAATGTACAAATTAAATTGTAATCTATCATTAATAGCAAGGGTAACTCATGAAAATAAATAGTAGAAATACAATTGAGTGACCAACCAAATCAAAACATAATTCATTTCCTCCAAATCTTCCTTCATTCTTTGGGACTTTTTCCAGAAATACCACTGTTTAAAAAAAGAATTCCAAAAATACCACCCAACCCCAAAAAATTCCAAAAATACCACCTTTTTCAAAAACCGTCACCCCACCCTGCGGTTTACACGAAAACCGCTTGTTGGGGGCGCGGTTTTCTATGCAAACCGCGTGGCTAAGGGGCGGTTATAAAAAAAAAAAAATTGGACCAAACCGCCTCCCACCCAGCGGTTTGGTCCAAATTTTTTTTTTTTCCGATCAACTCCTAACTTCGGCCGAAACTTCAAACGAACGTAACTTTGCACTCGGATATCCGATTGTAGCGATATTTTTTTCATTTCGCATAACTTTTCAAGATCTACAATTTTTACTAGGATGAAATTTTCAAAACAGGAATTACTTGTGGATATACGGGACCTTGAGAATAACTTTATCTTTACTTTTCACAAATCCATGTACATTTTGAAATTATGATTATATTAAAAGTTGTAGATCTTGAAAAGTTAGGCGGAATAAAAAAAAAATTCATGACGTTTAGATTTTGGAGCACAAAGTTATGACCGCCCAAAGTTTGACGAAAGGCGAGACCCGGCAGTTTGCGGCTTGCAAGATCTCAAAAAGTTTGCGGCCTCCATTTTTTGAATCCGAATAACTTTTTGAGATCTTGCAAGCCGCGAACCGTCGGGTCCCGCCTTCGTCTCGAAAAAATGACATTTGCAACCCCGAACGAGTTTTTTTTATTTCGTCAAACTTAGGGCGGCCATAACTTTGTGCTCCCAAATCCGAATGTCATGAATTTTTTTTTATTCCGCATAACTTTTCAAGATATACAACTTTTTAGATAATCATAATTTCAAAATGTATATGAATTTGTGAAAAGTAAAGGTAAAGTGATTCCCAAGGTCCCGTATATCCACAAATAATTCCTGTTTTGAAAATTTCATCCTAGTAAAAGTTGTAGAACTTGAAAATTTATGCGAAATGAAAAACAAATCGCTACAATCGGATACCCGAGTGCAAAGTTACGTTCGTTTGAAGTTTCGGCCGAAGTTAGGAGTTGATCGGAAAAAAAAAAAAATTGGATCAAACCGCTGGGTGGGGTGGCGGTTTTGGGCCAAACCGCCACCCCACCTAGCGGTTTGGTCCAAATTTTTTTTTATAACCGCCCCTTAGCCCCGCAGTTTGCATAGAAAACCGCACCCCCGACAAACGGTTTTCGTGTAAACCGCAGGGTGGGGTAGCGGTTTTTGAAAAAGGGTGGTATTTTTGGAATTTTTTGAGGTTGGGTGGTATTTTTGGAATTCTTTTTTTAAACAGTGGTACTTTTGGATTTTTTCCCATTCTTTGACTTTTTCCCCATTGCTTACAACATTATGTTTGTAAGTTATTTATTACTTAATAGATGTACCAAAGTCAGAGAATGATTTGGCTTATATTGTTACTCTATCTTATGGATTATTGGATGTTTTAGAATAAGATGCTTAGAATAGTATTAAGAATGATTGTCTCTTTGTCGACTTTATGAAATAGTAGGTGCGTTTAGTATTATAATTGAAATTTTTGTATGTAAAATTTTAGCTATTATAATGTAGGATGTACGAGGCAGGTATTACCCATGGGTACCCGAAACCCACGGGTATGGGGATGGGTTTGCAAATCCTTTCCCCGCTTGGGTATGGGGCGGGTATGGATTTGGATATTTGAAAGCGGGGATCTGGATGATTTATGCAAACCCGCCCCATTGCCATCCCTAAAGATGAGGCATACTTATAAAAGTGTTACATGTTTGATTGGGCTACAATAAGAGGTTTTTTCAATTTGGACGATTTTGTAAACACTGCCCCACATAGCGTGGCTATACGGTCCGGTCCGGTTAAATTGGCCCAAATTGATCCGGTCCAATCCGGTCTTTTTGAAAATATAAGGACCAAATATAGTCCGGCTTGATCCGGTCCGGTCCCAACTCGGTCTTGAGCTTGTGGGGATTTGAGTGGCCTAAGGCCTGAAAGGATGAGGAGTTGGTTAAGTTTGTACTAAGTGCAAAGATTTGTGACCGTTTATGCAAATTTCCCTTAAGTTTTGGGTGTTGAGCTCTCTTATCCGATGTTTATCCAGTTTTCGATCCGGTCCCGAACGGGTTTTTTACCTCAAATCTAAGCCCAATGATTGGATTGAATTGTTTACTATCCGGTCTCGGTCCGAGTTATACGGTTCGGTTTCGGGTAAAACCAAAAAACCCGGACCAAATAGCCAGCCCTAGGCCCACACACTTTCCAATTCATATCAGGTACTTAGAATCTATTCTGTAAGGGGTCGTTTGGATTACGAAATTTGTGTTGAGTTATTTGTGAGGATTTTGAGTCAAAATCCCTTGTTTAAAAACACAGAGATTTAATTAAGGAATTTGGGCCAATTGTGATGTTTGGATTAAGATGCAAATTTTGTGTCTAAATTCTCAAATTACGTTATTGACCCTTCTTTTGCCCCTTCTTCTGCTTCTCTGAAAGACAAGAATAATCCCCAGCGAACAAGAACAATCACTTCGTATACTTCCCCGACGAACAAGAACAATCCAAAAAATTCGGCCTTCTTCAATCTATAAATAAAACTCCTCAAATCGCTAACTCACAAGAACAATCTCGAAAATGCGCCCTTCATCAAATCTACAAACCCAAAATCCTCCAATCCCCAACAAAATAGAGCTTTGATTCGTGTTGCAGAAACTCCATCACAATTCCTTGTGTGTGTCGACGCCTTCGTCTCTGCTTTGACTCTCTTGGTAGGGTGGGTTCTTGTACGGGTATGCCCTTACTGGCTCACTGGCAGGGTTCAAGATGAATCAAATGATAGTATAGGGAGAAGGAGGAGATCCGAGAAGAGGAAGAATAAAGGAGATTGGAGATGGCGATAATTTGATGAGACAACTTTGGTGTTGGGTGGCAATGCCGGAAGAGAGGAAGAAGAGATGAAGCGGCGGCAGACGAAGGAAACGGATAAGAGTGAGTTCGGAGAAGGAGATAGAATGAGGAGGAATTAGTTGTGGATGAGGGTATTTGTGAATTTTAATAAATTTGATAGGGATAGAATTGGAAGGAAAAAGTAACTCAACAGAGTGTGCATAAGCTATTTCGAGAAAACCTTCATATTAGAGATTTTGACATTTCTTTTGCTAACAATCCCTCGCTTCTAACTACTCAATCTCAATCATAGACCAAGTATAACCTATAAATGGGTGTATAATAGAGAAAGTATATCAATTATCAAGCTCGGGCAATCTATATATCCTTACTTCAACAACAAACAAATTATCTAGCAATCTAAACGTTGTTTAAAACTATTTAAATAAGCAAGCAAACAATTAAGACAATGTTTAATTCAAATGAGAAAACTTCACTAAGATTATTATCCCATAGTCTCGTGTCGAGATGAGAATGTGATACTCTAGTAAGTTCGCATCATTCAAGTGAATAGAGAAACTACTTCATAGCTAGAGAAGAAACAACAACTAGAATAGAAGAAAAACTCATGGAAACTTGATTCTTCCTCTTTCAAGTTGTTGGGATGGATGCTTGGAAATGAAATTTGGTCTCCAAATAGCTTGGGCAGGTCAAATTCACCTTCAATTCTTCTTTGCTCGTAGCTCTCTCCAGATTCTGTAAGCAGAACTCCAAACTCTCTCTATAACTCTTCATTGAAATTATGTTCCATCTCCTTTATATAGCCTTTGAATGCACGTTTCACGGTTGCACATCACGTTAGTGAAGTGATTACTGAAACCCTAATTTCAACGAAAACTGTGCCATTTCATTAACACACTTCACGGTCTCTCTTCCGAGTTCACGGTTTGGAACGTGATCCTTGCAATGCCCGCGAGGCGTGATGATTTGGGTCTAAATGCACACATTTTACCCCTCATTTCTTGATAGTTTGACTCTGCATTTCATCGTCTCTCGGCTTATTTTACGCTAGGGTGTGCTTGTTTTGTCATATTTCAGGTCCTAGCACGTGTGGGAAGGTCGAGGATAAGTTTCGGGTCGATTGGAGGTCGAAAAGAGCAAAAAAAGTCCAAAGACAATTGCCCAGAGATCGTGAAGTGTGGAGGTTCCAGCATAATTTTCGGTTTCACTGGACTCAAACCAGTTCACGGTCGTAAGTTCGTGAACTCAAGCCAATGACCGTGAAATGAGTTAGTGAAGCGGCGCGTTTTGGCCCGTGATCACGGTCCCCGCCTTGAGTTCACGGCCATGAACTGGGAACGTGATCTGAGCCCGATCTGGGTATAGAAGGGGAAGTGAGAAGGGGGGGGGGGGGTTCTAGGTTTTAGTTTTCAAAATAAAAGAGGAGACCTAGTATGAGAAACTTCTTCTTGTTTAGATTTCTAGAGTGAGAAAGTGAGGAACCAAAGAAGAGGAGAAGGTAGGGTTTCATCTTCAAGCAAGGAATTGAGAATTCCTCCCCCAAAGGAGGATCTTTTCAACACAAGGAGCAAGTCTAGCATCTCTTTTATGATTTCCCTTCTTCTCTCTTATGTTTTCCCTTCTCTTAGCATGGAGTAGTCCATTCTTTCACTTGGGTGTTTGTAAACCCTAGCTACAATTATATGAATGCATGTATGGATTGAATGATTTTTGTGTGGTTGTGTTTAATGTGAATGTGAAGGTATTATTCATGAATGATTGTGTTGTGTTGTGTGAAAGCCTATCAATCAAATTTTCATTCTAACCTAGGTAGAGAGAAAACCCCCTTCCTTTCTTTGAAAGAGGGTTGAATGCTGGGTTTTCTTAGGCAATTGATTTTCTCCTATCTAGGTTAATGTAGGGCAAACCTCTTATTTTGTATTAGCACTTAGGGTTTGGTTGTGGGTCGCCGTCCGAACTTCGATTCGAGGGTGAAGTCTAACCAACCCTTAGTCAATAGGTTGAGAGAGTCACATCGGTGGCTTGTATCATATCCCCTTCCCTCGACCTAGAGACTAAGAGAGTGACATTGGCTACTTGTTACACTTCCCTATGGTTTAAAACCCCCTCACCACACACGAATATTCGACCCAACAAGTCGTGATTGATAGCTAGAAGGAGCACCACCCGGGTGAAGCCTTCTCAATTAGTGTCAAAGACTTATACCTTTGCAACCGCTTTAGCTATAGATTGTTGTTTTCAAAAAAAAAAAAAACCAACCGCTAGATAATGTTTAACGCAATCGAAGTAGGGGTAGATGAACCGGCCCAGGTCGATATTTAAACATACTGGCCATGTACTGCACCCAATTAAGGTATATACTTGGGCCTTAATTGGGGTTTTTATTGTAGTGCATTCGCGTAGAGTCACGTGAACATGCTCTTGAAACTTTTTAATCTTCACTGTTTCCTCGTCAACTTCACTGTCCAATGCCCATGACAATTGTTGCCAGCCCGCGATCCTTGCACTTTTCTCCGTTTGCTCCCTTTTCGATCCCTTTTGTCCGACTTTCGATCCTCTTGCCCATTCTACCTGTTAAAGTTTGAAACATGTCAAAATAAGACCAAACCTAGCGTAAAATGACTCCAATGACGATGGTAAACAAGTCAAACGATAGAAGGCAAGGGATAAAACTGTACAATCTATCTCGAATCCATTACGTAGTATAAAGGAGGTTTTAAAGGGAAAAGAAAATAAATCCATACCTTATTATTGATTCAATTCATTAAATTTAATTAAAATTTGATATATAAAAGAAATTTAATTTCATAATTACGCTTAACCATCAAGATTAATTTAAGTGATCAAAATAACTTATTAAATTTTAATGTTAAGGACCTGCGCTCATCCACAACGTATGTCTTTTAATTTTAAAAATGTAAGTGACGACAAATCATTATATATTGGGGATTCGGGATCGACCCTAAATTAAACCTCAGGCGGGGGGTTTCAAAATATAACATTTTCCATTTATAGAGGGGAGATGTCCAAGTGATGGAAATCATCAAGTTTTATCTAGTAAACACACTAATTATTTATTATTTATGGGCAGGGTATAAGTGAAGTGTATGAGTTTGGGGTTTGTAGATGAGTTTGGAGGGAATGAAAATGATAATGTTTTTCATACTATAAATAAGCATGAGTTGAGTATAAATGTCCATTATTCGAGGTAGTGTTAGCTGCAGCCCGCAGATACAAAATTTGATATATTTGTTAAACTTAAAAAGTTTAGATATCAAAAAGTAAGAGACAAAATTTTTAGGTACTAAATGTAATTTTTCATCTATATTATTATGACTTATATGCAAAAAAAAGGTACTAAATTTAAAGATCTTTTTAAGTTTTAGTACAAAACTGTAATTTGTTTATGAATACAAGTAGAAACAAAATCCATTGATTTAAAAGTCAACTCAACCCAAATAACCAGTACCAGTATAAGAGGTAGTTTGGAAGTTGTGATTGTTAAATAGATGTATTATTGTGAACGCATCTATAATATTACACATATAGTCGAACTTGATGCATTGTAAAATACAACGTTTGTTATATGGATTTTTTTCAGAAATAACACTGTTTAATTTATTTTCACAAAAATAGCACCCAGTCCCAAAAATTCCAAAAATAACATCTTTTTTCGAAAACCGCCAACCCACCACGCGGTTTACAAAAAAAACCGCTGGGTCAGGGCGCGGGTTTCGTTGAAAACCGCATGGTTAAGGGGCGATTTTGAAAACTGCTCGGGGTGGGGGCAGTTTCGTCCAAAACCGCAGCCCAACCCGGCGGTTTGGTCCATAATTCTTTTTTTTTTTTTTTGAAAAATCATAACCTAGGTGGAAACTTCAAACGAATGTATCTTTGTGTTCGGGTATCCGATCGTTCGGGTCTAAATGCACACATTTTACCCCTCATTTCTTGATAGTTTGGTTTGCATTTCATCGTCCATCGACATATTTCATTCTAGATGTGCTTGTTCGAATATCCAAAAAAGCATCTTTTTTCGAAAACTGTAAGTTCATCAAGCTCTACTCAATTACCTTATATTTGAATTACATACACAAATCAATTAGACTAGATAAGAAAATACCCATAAATTTCGACAAAATCTTCATCTCTAGTCCGGTTCCGCATTCTTTTATGCTCATCATCACGTGTCAATGAATCTTAACGTATAATATTATTATCAACAGTATAATTTATAGCTGAAAAGTAAAACTGCAACCCCCATTCAAAATTTCCTGCCCATAGAGTGATTTTAGGAAGCTGATGTGGCAGAGTGTTAAGCGGGAAAAAAAGAGTCCCGCCTGATTTCAGAACCAAAAAACTCTCCACTACCCACTTTTTTCTCCTTCCAGGCCCACGTTCTCATTTAATTTGTATTAATTTGTATTTTTTATTTCCGTTTTCCCTTCCTTCCACTCTTTCACCTCATTCGAATAAGTTTCTTGGCCTTCAGAAAACCAAACCTTGACTCAATCATCTGGTTCTTTTATGTGCTTGCATCTACCTTTGATTTCCGTTCTCTAAGCGTTAGATCGGTATTGGTTTTGCCGTAAGTTATTCTTCCTCTTTCAGATTTCTGTTTGTTGTTGTCGCTGCTTTTAAGTTTTAGGGATTCGGGTTCTGGGTTTTTTTTTCCAGGGATTCGGTTGCAAAGATTCATCTCCCTTACCTTTGGTTCATTCCGTTTTCTTTATTCTCTCTTACCTTCCTCGCTTCATTCTGTTGATTGGATTCTCTAGAGATCAAAAGGGGATTTTTGATTTTTCCCTTTCTCTTGAAAGTAACAAAGTTGCTTACTTTAAATTCCACTTCGCTTAGACTGTCTTCCAGAGAGCAGCCGACTGCCGATTTTGAGCTGAGTTTTTCCGGGCCGCAGAGAAAGAAGAGGAAAGAAAGAGACGTTCGGCGGCGGCAGCCAGGTACTTCGTCCGGGTCGTTTTCCGGGTCAGTAAACCGAAGGGCCGGCTATAAACTACCGCTGGCCTGGCGGGGGAAAAGGAAAGCGTAAACCATAAGGCCTCGGGGATCCATTTCTCTCGCCAGCCCATACTTCAGAGGCCCAGCCTACTTGAGTCCAGAACCAGCCCATCGCC